AACTTGGCAAGACCCTGTCTCTAAATACAAAAAAAAAAAAAAACGGCTAAGGATTGTGGCTCAGTGGCTAAGCGCCCCTGAGTTCAATCCTTGTTACAAAAAAAAAAAAAAAGGGGGTACTAAAATTCATTTAGAAGAAAAAAATGACCCAGAATAGTCAAAGCAATTCTGAGAAAGAGACATTATAATACCAGATTTCAAACTATGCTACAAATGATTATACAAAATTATATTAAAATAGCATGGTACCAGCATAAATAGCCACACAGACCAATAGAATAGAAGACACAAAGACAAACCCATGAAGATACAGTCAACTGATTCTTGACAAAAATACCAAATAAATACACTGAAGAAAAGAAGGGCTTTTTAAAACAAATGGTACTGGGAAAACTGGATATCCATATATAGAAGAATGAAACTAGATCCTTTTACCCTGCACAAAAGTCAATTCAAAATGGTGAGAGCGCTTCTAAGTATAGGATCATGTCATATGCAAACAGTGATAATTTTACTTCTTCTTTTCTATTGGTGAGAGTGCTAGAAATTAAAGCAGAAACTTTACAACTGCTAGAAGAAAACATAAAATCACCTTTCAGCATATAGGTCATATAGGTGGAGGCAACGATTTCTTCAATAGGACCCTAAAGCTCAGGAAATAATACTAACAATTAATAAATGACATAGCATTAAATTTAAAAGCTTCTGCACAACAAAGTAATCAATAGTGTAGACAGCCTACAGAAGGGGAGAAACTCTCTGCCAGATACTCTTTCAACAGAGGATTAATATCCAAAATATACAAAGAACTAAAAAAAAAAAAAAAAACTTCCCACCAAAAATAATAACCCAATCAATAAATTGTCAAAATGAACTAAATTGACATTAAAAGAAATGCAACATAAATGAAAAAATATTCAACATCTTTAGCAATTATGGAAATGTAAATCAACACTACCCTGAGATTTCATCTCATTCCAGAGAAAATGCCAACCATCGAGAATTTAAGCAACAATCAATTCTGGCGAGAATACAGGGAAAAATAAACTGTTATACACTATTGATGGGAAAGTAAATTAGTATAATCACTGTGGAAATTAGTATGGAGTTTCCTCAAAAGACTAGGAATGAAACCACCATACCAGCTATACCTTATATTGTATCAGTTGATGGTATTATCCAACGATTTAAAGTCAGCATCAGCATATTATAAGGGATACATGCATATCCACATGTATAGCAACTCAACTCACAATAACCAAGTTGTGGAATAGCATGATACCAGCATAAATAGCCACACAGATGAACAGAAGACACAGAGACCAGCCTAGGTATCCATAGAAAGTATACACACACATCATGGAGTTCTATTCAGCTACAAAGAATGAAATGTCATTTGCAAGAAAATGAATGGAATGAGAGATCATCATGTTAAGCAAAATAAGCTAGACTCTCAAGGGTTGGGCTGAGGATGTAGCTCAGTGGTAGAGTGCTTGCCTAGCACGTGTGAGGCTCTGGGTTCGATCCTCAGCACCACATAAAAATAAAAAAACATATTGTGCCCAACTACAACTAAAATAAATATTTTAAAAATAAAGTCAATGGTTGTTATGTTTTCTCATATGTGGGAACTAGAGAGAAAAAAAGGGGGGAACTGAGGAAGATCTCATGGAAGGGAAACCAGTAGAGCAGGGGAAGGGACTCAGGGGAGAGAGGGAGGGAGGGAGGGCAAGGGGAGGGACTGGGGAATAAAATGTCAAATTATCTGCACATACAAATATAGCACAATGAACCTATTTTGAGTAACTTATGCACTAATAAAAAATTGCACTGCTGAATGGATCAAGTCAGAGGCATCAAATTTACTATCAGTCTTCACCAACAAGTATAAAAGCATCTACACTTAAAAATGCCCTTGATGAAACAATGATGTCTTTATATCAAAATCTGACCCTTAAGTAGGTAAATATCCCATGACAAAATGGGATGTACAACAAAGCATGTTTCCTGCTCTGCGAGATGTCTATCTCAAGGAAGTGTACTTATTCAACTGTTTTGAGTTGTGAGCTCAACCACCTTTTTTCATGGCATGGTCATTTTTACTTAAGAGTTTGACAATCATGTTTATTTAGATTTGAGATTTAAAAGCAATGAGTCTGCTGTGCAAGGAAACAACCTTTTTTTTTTTTAACCAATGATAACATTCGAAATTAAGGAAAAATCAGAATTTTAGTTTTCAACTACTCAATTTTTAAAAACTGATAAGATCAGTGGTGATACGATATAGTATAAAAAGTGTTAACATTTGGGAGATGCACATAACTCGGTGCACTATTTTCTGAGGGGCCATTACAGAGTTATAAAATCATGCATAGGTAAAAGATTCACAGCATGTGTGTTAAATTCCAGGCTCTGAAAAAAGAAAAAGATTAGAAAAATTAAAATTAAAATACCAATGGTAATGCAAGGAGCTATTTTAAATCAACAAAGATTTTCATCTTCTTAATTTCAAATACAACAAGTATACCCACAAAAATAAAACCTCTATGAAGTTCTCAATGATTTCTAAGTGTAAAGGATTCCTGAGACCAAGAAATTCTAGTTCTAAGTGAACATAAAACTACTTCAAAAACATTTTAAAAAATGACTGTGGTGTAATATATCAATTCTATCAGGAAACAGAAAAATGCAGTTGGTATAAAGTAGCAGGCTCTTTGTACATTACTCAACCCTCAGAAAACATAAATGGCGAGAAAGTTGTCCAAAACCACACAAATATCCACAAGTTGAATCAGCAAAACCAGCCTGGCCCAAGAAATTAGGCTCTGTGTTCTAATCGCCCAACAAAGCTCTTTTCGTTCTTTTCTACTGCAGTCCCTTTAGTTTTTACTTGCTTTGGCTTCTATTCCTAAAAAATTTAGTCCTTATACACTTAAAATCACATTCCACTGGGTAGAACACATGCCTAGATTGTACCAAGGGTCTGCATTCAAACTCCAGCACTGCAAATGAATAAATCCTATCCCTAAAAAAATGCCTTCATAACATATAAAAACAGCTTATGGAAAAGGTCAGGTTAGAGCAGTGTAAGGTCATTTGGTTAATAAGACTCTCCGCTTGCCTTTCCTGAGATTATAAGGGGAAGATCAGTTTTCAATTTTTACCTACTTTGGCAACCCCAGAGTCAACAAGATGAACTATTATTGGATGGAATACAATTTTCACAAACATTGAAACCTAACTTCAGAAAAACCGTTTTTCTATTCTGGACAGTTACTGCAGGTAGCTGTAAGGAAGGAAAAAACTGAGAAAAATCTCAAAAAACAATCTTGAGCAAAAAGTAGCTAGATTAAAAATACTTTGTACTTCTACTTATAGAAAGCATAAAAGGAGGAAAAACCATCTGAGCTATTACAGATTGTGTACTGACAGTGGAAGTTGTGACCAGAAATAGGAAGGGGACTCAAGGGATTCCAGTAGTGATTTTCCTTAATGAGTGATTACTCAGGTTACTGTTCACTTTACTACACTTTCAGAATCCCTCACATCCTGTGTTTTTCCTCTCCATATCCTCTGGTGAATGGCTATCTCATCTATCAGTGTCCCATACTCCATACTCACTCCCTTGCCCTGATCATATTAAATCCTGCACAATAGGACTTTTCATTATCAGACTCTTAAAAACTCCTGTTATAAAGTGGGCACGAGGGCACACACCTGTAATCCTGCAACTCTGAAGGCTGATGGAGGAGTATCACAAGTTCAAAGCCATCCCTAAGCAACTTAACAAGATACTGTCTCAAAAATTATAAAAGGCTGGGGATGTAGCTCAATAGTAAAACTCTTCCAGGGTTCAATCCCTGGTACCAAAAAAAAAAAAAAAAAATCCTGTTCAAGCTAGGCAGAGTGGTACACACCTGAAATCCCAGCAGTTTGGGAGGCTGAGGCAAGAGAATCACAAGTTCAAGACCAACCTATTCAACTTAGCAAGAACCTGTCTTAAAATAAAGGGCTAAGAGGATAGCTTGGTATAGAGTACCCCTGGGACCAAACCCCAGGACCAGGGTGGTGGGGAGAATTTCTGTTATATAGGGGTTAGGGATGCAGTTCTGTGATGAGTACATGCTTAGTATGCAGAAAGCCCAGCATCAAAGAAGAAAAAAATATTATCAAGAAAGCTGCATAATCTAATGCAAGTTAATAAGTACACAATAAAATACAGCCATTTAAAAAAAAATACTGCCATTTATCTTTCTCATTTCACCAGTGGGACAGAGTGTAATGTCTATCTTCTCTGTTCCCTAAGATTTAACTTGGTGTTGGGGTAAGATCATGTGGCATGTGCGCTGCAACATGGTTTCCCATTCCCTGTAATCCCCCTTTAATCACATAATTTTCTAATATAACTTCCTCATATGCTTCATTTTCTGCAACTGTGTTGCAGAATTAAAAAAAATATATATTGTACACTAGGTGGCATGGAGTGCATGCTTTATTTCTATCATGAATTTCACACACGTTTTCTGGGTCATACCATTTCTACACAGACTAAAATAGCACCCCATTCTAAAAAGGATTTAGTAGTAGACTTAAGGGGTTTCCATAGAAGTTATAGTTTACTAAAGGTAGTACTTACCAAGCAGCCCAATAGGCATATGACATTGTACCTGCAATAGATTCTTATAGCCCTGGTATCTTGAGAGTAATTACTCCAAATAAAGGTATTTAATTAACCAATTAACTAGCTTTCTGCCTATCAGGGCTTAAAAAATCTTGCTAGATGACCTAGACACTTCATAAAATAGCTTTATAATGTGTTTATCAACATTTAAAATAGATGAAAGGTTTATAAAGTTAAATTCAACAGTATGAGCATGTGATAACTTTTGCCTACTCACTTTTTTAAAACGTACAAAATGGGTTATCATCTATGTGTCTTTCAGGGTGAGTTACGAGAGTTAGATGTTATATTTGCCTCTGGATAAAATTTTCATTAGACACACAGTAGGAGAAAACCACTTTTAATTGAAAAATAAAGCAATACATCTCAAATAAGACTCTGTTTAAACGAACAACATAAACTGTAATTTGTTTAAAGAAAAGGCTTTCCTAAGTGGTATTGTGAAATTTAGGTATCAGTATTAATAGCTTCCCTCCTTTACCCTGACAAATTATTTAAAATAAGAACCTTTTCCCATGAATTTAATTTCCATGAATTAAATGTGTACAGGTTTATCCCTACTTCAAACCCAGTGACAAATGGAGGGGCTATTTTAAACAATTATTTCTATACTTGAACTCCCAGAGAAAAGCAAATACCAAAGTCAATATTTTCCTTATGAAAAAGCTTATATGTAAAACACACAAGACTACTAATATTTAACTCATTCACAAAACTTCAAAATACAATTTCATCAAGATGATCTCTACCAACAATTTTCCTTTAAAGAAGTTTGCAAATTTCAGAATGGTTTAAGTTGACATACACCGGACCCGTTAAACTTTGAAAGAAACTACTAAATTATTGCTTTAAACTGGAAAAAAACTATGGTCGAAAGTATCTTTAAAAAGAACTCATCCTGCTGTTCCTAAAATTACACTCATGTTAGCTGCAGAAAAAAATGTTAAAGCATACAGTAAACATTACTCTTAGAATAACAGAACAAAGGCATTAAGATGTATGGCTTTCTGTGTGATTGTTATTACTATCTATAAATAAAGTCATTGCTGTTTGACTGAAAAAGGTTTTTACAAAACTTCACTTCTAAAATTAACATTTTTATTAAATCAAGTTTAAAAAAATGTTCACTGTAGAAAAGTCAACAAGGGTTTTAAGAAAACCAAAATATACCTTTTTATACAATATATGTATATATTAGCAGCAAACTACTTCTGAGATTTTGATCTTTTAGTAATTTTAAAGAAAGCATAAACATTGTGTATTAGTATGGAATGTCAGTGAATTCACTTTATCCTTTTTTTCTGTGATTTGGCCCTTCTACAAAATACTTTATGATTCTCAATATTAAGAAAAAAACTTAGTTTTGACTTTGAAGTAGTGAAACTGTGGCTGGTAAAATCTATTTTCACTACCCTCATAGTCACGAATTATTTTTGAGAATAACAAATGAGCACCATATAAATAGGTAATTGTGTGTAAACTCAATTTTTAAGGTGTAATAGCAACCAACTTATATCACTTAGCATTTGTTACTTTTTAAAAAAATTTGGTGATATACAAAATTTTAATCAAATCAGATAATTCAATCCTATATTGCTTGTTCATTTTTAAATCCTTAATAAAAGTTCTGTATAACCTGACAAACTGCATGCAAAGATATATATGTGTATGTATGTTATGTATATACATACAAAAGTATATGTACATATATATCTTTAGCTTTGAATTTCTTTAAATTTCTCATTTAAGTATATCTGTAGAATATATCACCAACTGAAAGTTTCTAGTAAGTTTCATCTCAGCTAATGAGAAACACTGGCTATTGAAAATTCTGTGGCAAAACAATTGTTATTCAGCTTGGTATTTCAGCTTACAAATTGGTCAAACACACAAAATTGAATTACCAATTGCTCCAAAGAAATAAATTTTTTTCTTGATATTTCCTTCTAATAGCAAAAAGGAAATGTCTTTGCAATGAACTTTTACTTTTAAAGAGTTAAAATTATTAAAGAAATCTCACTAGTTTTCAAAAATACTAAATGTTATATAAATACAATTTTCTTATAGTTGAATACTTCAGCTATAATCTGTGTTTAAAAAATTTCCTTTGGATTCTTCCATTTAGCACTTCAAGTTTTCATTCTGCAACTCTGACAACTGGCTCAGATTTGTTACGTTTATATCAATCACGTCTTTCAGAATTTGCTACTGTGTGTTACCTGTGTACAATAAATAGGAAAAACTGCACCAAAATTTCAAAAGCAACATAATAATAATGAAAAATTCAAAAATATGTAATATAAAAAAAGATAAGAGTACAACAGGGATTCCCTTTTCACTACATTACTGAGATATAATCCTTTTTATGCTTTTAAAGTAATGTTAACTTTCATTTTTTAACTTGTCAAGAAGATGAAGTTTTTAGGTGGCCCAACCTTTACTTTTCAATTAAAAAATTTAAAACAATAGACTGAATTACTTTTATTAATATACACATCAAGTTACTGAAACTGTGACTTCGTGTAGTTTTCCCCTTAAAGATGGCACTTGCAGGTACAAAGATGTAGAGATGTCTACAGGCTTCAGATGTTTACTTGAAAAGATTCTTCAACAGCAGTTTGATATTGGGTTTCCTCATCTAGCTGAAGATTCTAGAACACACACATACACATACACACACACACACACACACAAAAAAAAAAAAACAACAAAACATTAAGTAGTCAATAAGAAAATACTCAACTATTCCACATTTATCCAGTATATTACTGATCTTGATGTACATTACATTCAGGACAATTTATGTACAACACATAGTATACTTTAAAATATAAGATTAAGATGGATTTAATGGCACCTATCTGTAATCTCAGCAACTCAGGAGGCTGAGGTGGGGAGATCACAAGCTTGAAGCTAGCCTGGGCAACTTAGTGAGATACTATCTCAAAATAAAAGCAAAATATAAAAAGGGCTGTGCATGTAGCTCAGTGGTAGAGCACCCCCAAGTTCAAATTCCAGTGTGAAAAAAATAAATAGATAAAAGATTAAAAGATCTAAATACTTAAGCTTTAATTAAAATTAAGTTCAACTGTAAATTATTTAGGACTAATAAGATCAACAGAGAATGAAATATATATTTCCAATCATTAATCAAAACTATGCTTAATTGTAACCTACAATCATAATCGATAAATTTGCCCAAAGAAATAACAGCATCGAATAATTAAAATCATAGTTTTCAATAGCAAGGTAAAACAATACAACAATTAGACCAAAAGTAGCTCAGTAAACAGATTTTCATTTTTCCAAATAGTCTTCCAGACATAGTAACCTTTCCTAGGATGAGAATAATAATCTACAAGTACTTCATAAAATTGCTAATGAAACAGTGATTTTTATGTATATCTGAATTGTTTTGAAAGGGCCACCAAAAATGCCAGTTCCTCAAAAACACAACAAAAAACCCATTTATCAAGAATGCAATTTCAGCTGGATGCAGTGGCTCACACCTAGAGACTCAGCAGTCTGAAGCAGGAGGATCACATTTTCAATATCAGCCTGAGCAACTTAGCAGAACCCTCTCAAATTAAAAATGAAGAGGGAATGGAGCTCATTAGTACAGCACCCTTGGTTTCAATCTCTAATACTGAAGATATGGGGGCAGCAGGGCTGGGGGTGGGGGATGACGGAGGGGTTATATAATTTCAAAACTGGAGAGAAAAGAAAAATGTAAATTTTGTTCACACCCCCTGTGAGAACGGTACATGTCTGGTTTTATTACCTAAACTAGAAAATAGTCATTTTTTTGTCAGGATTAATGCTGAATTAAATAACGTCTCAATTACACTGGAGATGAATAAAATGTAATGTCACATTTAACACAGAAGTCATTAACTAATTTTAAAAAACTATGACACATTCAGGAAAGAGAAATTAACCCCACAGTTTTGCTTTAAGGAGCCATTTTTAAATTATGTAACTTCATTGCTCACTTTCCTAAGTAATCAACCTGGCTTTGCCTAATACTTAAGCTCCTCCATTAAAAAAAAAAGTTTCATGTGCTAGATGTGGAGAAATCTCTAATAGTAGGTTTAACAACAACTTATAGTATATGATAAATATATCCTTTCATATGTTGTACCAATTGTACCTCAAGTAGTATATCTATAATCTAAAAGTTTGCCAATGTTGTCAGCAAAAATAAAAGAACTTGCTATATATCTAACCAATATGGTATAACAGCTTGATTCAAATTCAAGTCTAGCCAGGCATGGAGATGCATGTTTAAAATTCCAGCAACACAGGCGGAATTCAAGTTTGAGACCAGCCTTGGCAACTTTTAGTGAGACCATCTCAAAACAAAAACTAAAAAGGGCTGGAAATGTAGTTCAGTGGTAGAATGTCTTGTGTTCCATCCCTAGTACAAAACAAACAAAGAAAACCCCAAGTCTAGATTGAAAAAATAATTTAACTTGAATATTTAAATAGTACTTTATTAAAAGAATTTACTTACCACAAATTCTCCATAATCAAACTGATGTCTTTGATTTAGATGACTAACGAAATTTCTAGTAATCTGGCTAGGATCTCCCCAAGGAAGAGACACACAAATAGGACATGTCTATGAAAAACAGATTGTTTTATATAAAAAAATTATGAAAACAATCAAACTTTATATAATGGAAGGTTTAAGCAACTTTTATTGGCACCATTTTTCCAAAAGTTCAAATAATATCTGCTTACACTTTTTTTGCAAAAAAAGATTTTTAAACTAAGCTATGCACATTGTTTTTTATTTTGACACAGTAAACACATAATAATAAGCTTTTATATACAATGGAAAATCAAATATTTTGTGTGACTTGTTTTATTGCAATATTTGCTGTACTTCAGTGCTCTAAAAAAAAACAAAACAAAACTGAAATATCTGAAAAGTATTTCCTTTTATTTTAATGATGCTGGTATCCAACCTAGGGCTTCAAGCCTGCTAGGGAAGCCTTCTACCACCAAGCTACACTTCTAGCCCTTGAAGAAAAACATTTCTAAAGGCCAGATTTCATAACTAGATTATTTCCCAAAGTACCTTAAAAAACGCACTAATAAGAGACCTTTTATATTCTATTACTTAATTTCCAATTACACAATTATTTCAATAGAAACAGAGTCTATAAAAACACCAACAGTAATGATAGTTATCATTAATTGCCTATGTAGTAAATAATCTCATTCGATCTACATAATACCATGATATTATTAGCTTCATTTACATGTAAAATGAAAATTATGTGAATTATGAAATTTAAATTGCATTCTTAAAATTTTAATGAAGTACATCTTTAAAAGCAAATGGATGACATACTAAATAATATAAAAAGGAACTTTTGTAACTGGACTCTAGTCAAAGCTTACAATAGAGTGACTATTAAGCAGAAATGAATAAAAATTGCTAATTCAATATAAAACTAAGTGTAATTTCTTATATATGAGATTTCCTGAAGACTTCTTGGCATTATTATTTAACAGAAACTGATCCCCTTCTAAAAAAGCAAAGTAGGTATGCAAGAGTTGGAAGGAATTCTCGATAGTTATTGGGGCATGCTTTTTTCACAAATTTTTCTAGTAATCCACTAAGCTTAAAAATATCTACAAGTTTTTACTGATAAATTTTCCTCCTATTCTTATTTCTGAAGAGAATGTTTACGTATCAAAATGCTTATGGGCAGGGATATATATATAGTTCAGTTAGCAGAGTGCTTGCCTCGCATGCACAAAGCCCTGGGTTTAATCCCCAGGACCACACACACACACACACACACACAAAGCTTAGCTAAAAAAGAAATATCTCTTCCAGTTCTGTTCATTCTATTCCATTAGCCACAGTTAAAATCACTTATTAACTGTGTTCAAAATAAGCTGTTCTGAGACCATTAACACAATGTTGGAATCCTGCACACTGCTACTCTTTTATTTTCTTCATTCACTGAAAAGGTCTCATCACTTTCTAACTCACCCTCAAAATGACATCAAAATGATTTGTCTGCATCAAAAAGAAAGTATGGTTCTTTTCCTTCCTTGCTTTATGCATTCATGTATCAGATTCTGCAAAGCTTTAGAATTTAAAATACCTGCTGGGGGGCTGAGGTTGTAGCTTAGCAGTAGAGCGCTCGCCTAGCACATGCGAGGCCCTGGGTTCGATCCTCAGCACCACATAAAAAAAATAAATAAAGATACTGAGTTCAACTACAATTAAAAAATAAATATTTGTTAAAAAATACCTGTTGGGTTTATTCTTTCAACAAATCCACCTGATTGGACCCTGTCATCTACATCCTATAGAGAAAAAAACTGAAAGGACCCAACAGATTTAGGTTCTGTCACTGTTTAACAATGAATTTCCTGTTCACCTCATTCATCACTTTACTCTTCTCCAGGCTGTCCTATCCTATCTCATAATAAGCATATCCCTTGGATTTCTAAACATTTCATTTTGGCTCAAATAAAATTTGATTTATCAATCATTTATTGACAAAAATCTACCTTACTGATAATGCTCTATATCCCAATTTATATCAATGGCCTTCCCTTTTGCATATATAAAGTAAAATAAATGGAGCAGCATACTTTAAGCAGAAGACTATCTTAAACATGTACTTACCACAGGAACTATCTGAAATAGGTGGTTACTGTTACAGTGATCAAGTAAACGCTGTCTAGTAAAATTTGACTCTTGACACAAGGGACACTTAAAGGTGGGATTCCCAGAACTACAAAACAATTGTAAATGAAGCATATTTAATTCAATACCGTAACAAAAAAATTAGCTCTACTATATTTTGACTAATGTGAGCTTATTTTTTTAAAGTTATAATCATTAGACTATTGAAGGATTCTCACATTTTCAAAATGTTTTCAATAAATGATCTAGAACAGAACTTCTCAAACAAACTCAGTTAACAGAAATAGTATTAAATTTTTTTCATGGACTCTGCCTAGATCAAAACAATAACAACAAAAAGACTTAGCTTTTTTTAAGTAGTTAAGTCCAAATTTTTAGAATCAAGCATTAATATGAAGCTAATAGATGTCACTCTTGTGTTCCTTGAAAATTTTTTTAGGGCCTCACTAAGCTGCAGAGGTTGGCTTTGAACTTGTGATCCTCCCTCAGCCTCCTGAGTCACTGGGATTATAGGCATGCACCAGTGTCTGATGCTAAAATTTAAAACTTCTAAGATTTCTACCAAAATTATACCTTTAGCCAGGCACAAAGGCCCATGCCTGTAATCACATTAACTCAGAAGGTTGAAGCAGTAGAATCTCATCTTTGAGACCAGCCATGAGCAACTTAGAAAAAACCCTGTTTTCAAAATAAAAAATAAAAAGAAGTGGGCTAGGGCTCAGTGGTAAAGCATGCCAGGGTTAAATCCTCAGTAGAAATAATAATAAATTATATCTTTAATATAATCCAGGTCCTAGGAATTAAACATACAAAATTTACAGATAAAGCAAAAAGACACATTGATCACTAGAATAAAGCACTTCAAAACAATCTGAGGATCAAGCATTATTAGGTTTTGATACCTCTCAAAGTCATCAAGGAACAATTCAACATTGAAAACTCTATATGAATCATGCTTGGAAGAAATTTAACCACAGTCAAAGAGAATAGCTAAACTTTCTAAATTTAATGAAATTATTAAAAACAAAAATTATACTGTTTATTTCTTAAACTAACAACTTCTAGTTGTTAAGTTGATTTAAGCAAATAAAAATTTATTTTACAAATTTATTATTTAATAAATAATAGATATTACCTGCTAAATTAGCAAAATTTTTAAAAAGCTTACCTTGTATTCTCTTGGTAAGTTTCTGTGTTATCAGATGTGGATGTTTCACTCCTATTACTTAATAAGCACAGGGGGGAAATGGTTAAAACCTCAAGTAATGAAACCATCAGGGATTTGTTAACTTGAACTGTTAATAAATTTCAAATGTTCTGAACATACAATAATTATGGTAATTACTTTTCAAACAAATTAAGACAGAACTGCTTATTAGGTTCTTATTCATGTCTTTTAATATTAGTATGCAGTCACAAAAGTACAGATTAGACAATTTTGCAATTACCTTAAATCCTACTCCTCTACCTCTACCAGTAAGATTTTAAACATGGATAGACTTCAAAAATTCATCAACTTTTTGACATGTGGTAGGATACTGTTTAAGGTTGTGGCCTCCAAAACGGAGTAGGCTTAAGAAAATACTTATTTACTACACTTATATTTGACTCCCAAACTTCACTAATATTTAACATATACAACATCTTGATATATTCTCTTCACTTGTCAGTCATGTGTCGTATAAAATATTAGAGAAACCGTAAAGGAAGAATGGACATGCCATATGGGAATTGCCACTTATGTGAGAGAGAATTTCACCCATTTGGTCAATTTTATAAAAGCAAGGTCCTTCAAACGTAGAAATCTTAAATAGTAAAGAGATAGGTAGCAGTCCTAAAGAGGTTTGCTCTATATCTCAACCCTAAACTTAAGGGTTGTTGAACTTAAACAAACAAACAAAAAAACCTTACTATTCAATTTTCTTTTATAAAAAGACAAACAATAGTGTATCACCTACCTAACAGATGGTCTTTTTTAAATTTTTCAAAATAAAGTTGCATTTAACAATATATACTCAATGAAAAGGCACCCTCTGTGAAGATAACCACCTCTCCACACGCAGTTGAATTACATACCCAAATAGAAGACTTTTTAAAAAATATATTTATTTTTTAGTTGTAGTTGGACACAATACCTGTATTTTGTTTATTTATTTTTATGTGATGCTGAGGATCAAATCCAGGTCTTGCAAGCACCCTACTGTTGCTCCACAACCCCAGCCCAATAAAAAACTTTTAAGAGTATTTTGCATATATTTGACAGATATTAATCTGTCTGTTCCAGTAAAGGTGGCATTTTAACAACAAAAACACTAAAAAAAAAATTGCTCTTTAAAATAAACTCAAACTATGAAGAATACAATTATTAAGGAAACACTGTATGATTTTTGTGACCAAAATCAGTATGTGACACCTATTTTTTAAAAATCTCAAGTGGGGCACACTTGTAGTTCTAGTTACTCAGGAGGCTGAAGAAGAAGAACTGCTTGGACCCAAGAGCTGGAAGCCAGTGTGGGCAATACAGGGAGACTCTACCTCTGTATTGTTTAAAAAACACTCAAACTCAACTTGGTAACAGGTCTTTCTAATCAGTTAAAAAATCTCCTACATAAATAAAATCAATGAATTTTGAATGTTCCCCTTGAAAATATAACAATTTCTGGTTGATTTTTAACAGTTTTTATCAGGGAAGATGAAAATGTCAATAAAAGCCCTTTTGATATTTAGTGAACAGAACTAAAAATTTTAGTAATTTGAACTTATGTGACATATCTCCATTTGAAATCTACATTTTTTATAGGAAGGTATCTTTTCCAGTCACAATAATCATCAAAACAAAGTGAACCTGCATCTAAGCTTTGAATACTGTATCAGTAGCATTTAAAAAAAAAAACAAAAAAAAGTTTTTAATTTTAAAGTATTGCTTCTAGCCCGATTTTGGAGGTTGAGGCAGTAGGACTCAAGTTTGATACCAGTCCCAGCAATTTATTAAGACCCTGTCTCAAAATAAAAAACTGGTATATAGCTCAGTGGTAGAGTGCCCCTGAGTTCAATCCCCAGTTCAAAATTAAAAAAAAAAAAAAAAAAAAAAAAAAAAACACCAAAATTTAAATATTTTATATCACCAAAATAAAACTTACTTTTCAAATAACTTTTTCATTTTTATCAAAAATTTTGAAGGAAAATGTTTTAATAGTATATTTTACTTTAAAAATACAAATGATAAAAAAAAAATCCTAGTTCCCCAAACAATTCCCATTTCAATTATAAAAATTATACTTTTAACAACAAAGGTTGCTTACCTATTCCCTACTGAATCTTGAGATATCTGAAAGTTTGGAATAATAGAAGAAACACCATATTCATCCTGATACTTCTTACAAGATTTATAATGATGTCTCATACGATAGAATTTAATCTGTAAATAGATTAAAATGTTTTTAGTTAAAAAAAAACAACATTTGATACTCTCAACGAGAAAAAAGATTAAAATAAATGATGAAATTAAACAAGATTAAATTCATTTAAATAAACAGTATATGAAAACATATTTTTTAAAAATATTATTTAATTCTTAAGCAAGAGTTGAAAATAGGTAATACCTTTCTATTAGGTGCTGACCTTACTTCTATAAAGTCACAGCAAAAAATATCAACAAATAATTTTATACTTGAGATGATGATACTACTAATATTAAAAAAGTCAAAAGTACTAAGAAGTTGTCTCATTCTATTAGGCATTTCTTTATTTAACTACTTATAGCACAAATAGAAAGCATTTTTTTAAAAAATTAAGTTCCCAGGTCAATATATGAAACATTTTTCAGTTTCTCACTGAGGAGTAAAGCCAGAATCTCTCAAGTATGTTTTCTAGCTTCACTCCATTGCTCTATCACCTTCTTTAAAGTCATAGAAAAACAGATCTGATTTATGTGCATGCATGAAATGGTAACAGTTTTGTTTACTGACTATTAGTTTTCAGAAAAAAATCCATAGACACATAAATCTACTCAAAGTCTAGCTACTCCACATCATTTTACACCTTCTCTGAATAATAGAACAATACATTACAGATAAGAAAATAAATGCCAGGGCTGGGGATGTGGCTCAAGCGGTAGCGCGCTTGCCTGGCATGCATGCGGCCCGGGTTCGATCCTCAGCACCACATACAAAAAAAGATGTAGTGTCTGCCGAAAGCTAAAAAATAAATATTAAAATTCTCTCTCTCTCTCTGTTAAAAAGAAAAGAAAAGAAATGCCAGTTATTTGCCAACACCTGATTTTTCTACCTGTTACTTAAAAATTAACCAAAGTCTTCTGCCAAATACTTTGTGATTTCTTAGATAAATACATAAATAAAGCAGGACCCTAGAGAATTTGTTGACTTCAATTTGGCCGAATGATTAACATTTCTATGTACAAAGCTGCAATACTGATGCTATTGTCAGAAAAACTATTTAAACATTAAATCCACCACAATGGGTATAAATGAACTAAGTGCTCAATTAATTTTGCAAGTAATTAATGAGCTATTTGCAAGAAATACCATGCTAAAAAGTATGACAATTCAGAGATTTTATCTTTCAATCTCTGTTCTCAATAAGCTTATAATCTAGTAAAATCTACAGCCACAACTTTTTTTGGTCTTTTCTACTCAATTCCAAAACTAAATAATATCTTTCTCTTTAAAACAGTGTAAGCACCCACCAAGAGCACTCAAATGAAAACTTCAGAGTAGAATTTTTAACTTTCAAAGAGCATTTACTCTACCTGTTTTGCACAGCATCTACAGCTACCAGAAAACTTCCTCATGATATTTTCAAGATCTAAGGCCCGTTCTGGACACGCTCTTTCTCTTCTAGTCACATTTCCACGACACAGGGGACAATGTATTCCACTTTCTCTCATTGCAGTCAGGAAACATTTTCTACAGAAACTAAATCAAACATTTGTGACATGTTAATTACAGAAAAAAAGTACTCTTTTTATTTCTATGATTAAATAAGTGACTCTGGACAAATATTTATGCTAAGTACATTAAGCTATTCATAAGTACATCTCAGGATTTTAAGAACTATATATGTTATTTCTCAGAGAATAAGACTAATAACTAGATTAGATGAGAACATAAAAGCAGCTACAGATCTACTTTACAATTGTTTAATAGTATATGAAAACATAAATATTACTATGTAACATTATCACAGGAAGCATGGTACAAAGGAAGAACTGAGTCTTATCCTGGCGCTGCCATTTAGCAGGTGTGTGAAACACACCTATACTGGATCTCCATTTTCTCCCCTTACAAACTGAAAGGATGGACCATATCATCTTTTGCCTCAAACTGATATAATATCAAGATGTTCCCACAAAATATGATTAGGTCTATTAAACAAGACTGCATAGGGTTAGAAGTAGAAAGTACAGTGATAGAACACTTGCCTAGCATGAGTGAGGCAGTGAGTTTGATCCCCAGCACCACCAAAATAAGAATACATAGATTAATTAGCAAAGCTGGAAGAACAGACTGTTTCCTCTGCTAAGGAAAAACATAATGGTTGCCCAAACTTATGTGGTCAGGAAATATAAAAATTTCCCACAATGATATACAAAGGAATACAATTTAAGAAATATTTAAGAACACTTCTAGCATTAACATCCACAGCCAACATTCTAAGTGGAACCAAACTAACTAAATAAAATTTTAATTTATTGTCCTCTGATCACACTAATTACCACATTTGATCATTTTGCTTTTAAGAGAGCCAGATAAATCACAGGCTCTTATCCTGGCTCTGCCATATAGGTGTCTATATTTGGGATCAAATGTATCAACATTACTAATTTATACCAATAAAAGTGAGGGAACAATGAAATAAAAAATGAGAATCTGAGTTCCCTAACTATGTAGTACTGAACAATCATTTTTCCCCTCTAAAATCAGTTTCCTAATCCATAAAATAGTAAAAATATTTACAATTGAGTTATTCACATGATTTCAATACTGAGTCAGGAAAGTGCAAACAGTAGAACAGTAGCTAATATCATTAAAGACATTAGAAGTGATTATCAATTAAGACCATAAATTAAAACACTAATAATATTCACCAGAACAAGGAATCAAAATAATGCAAAGCAAATAAGACCAAGACATCAGTTTTCACTTGTTAAACTAGAAACTAGTCTTAAAAATTATAAAAATAAGCATCTAATTATAGCCCATAATTATGCATAATTATAAAATGTCAATAAATTAACCAATATAACTGAGTGTGTTAAGTCAACTTTTTGTCACTGTGACCTCAACTCACAACAACTTAGAGGAAGAAAAGTTTATTTTGGGCTCAGTTTCAGAGATTTGGTCCATGGTTAGCAGGCTCCAAGACAAAACACCATAGTGGAGGGGCATGATGGAGGAAAGCTGTTCAATTCATAGCAGCCAGGAAGCAGAGAGGAATGGGCCAAGGAAAGACATAGTCCCCAAGACTGCACCCCCAAGTGGCTACCTCCTCCAGGCAAACTCCACCTACCCAGTTACCAACACATTCAAAATATTATACATCAAGTAGATTTAAGTCAGAACTCCATAATCCACTCTTTCCAACTTAGAACACTGCTGCATTGTCCAACCAATGAGCTTTTAGGGATATATCCCAGATAAAAACTGTAACAGTGAAGATATTGGAAAATGACTATTCAACATTTCAGATCACGATATATCAATACTTACCAAAGTTCCTAGGGTACCCCAAAAGTCTTAAGTGCCATTTGAGCTTTGATAACTCTAGAAGCATAAATGCTCAAATTATAAAATAATGTTACAAATTTGTTTAAACTAAAAATTTTAAATTTATTATCTGTATGATTTATAATTTTTAAATAAGTTTTTTATTTAAATACTTTGTTTGCTCAGTATTTGTATTCTTCAACCTGAGGGACTATAAAGAAAAAAAGAGGGGCTGGGGTTGTGGCTCAGTGGTAGAGCGCTTGCCTAGTGTGTGTGAAGCTCTGGGTTCGATCCTTAGCACTTCATAAATAAAATAAATATAAAAATAAATAAATAAAATAAAGATATTGTGTCAAACTACAACTAAAAAATAAATATTAAAAAAAAAGAGGGAAGGAAGCATCAGATAGCTCCCTCACTTAAATAAGCAATAATTAGAAACAACAGTCTAAACTACAATAAGGTCTTCACTAAAACAGGTTTTAAAAGGGAGGAACACAAATAGCTCTGTTTTAGAGAAACACTTCTTCTTTTTTTTTTAACTAGCTCTTTTACCTAACTATAGGACTCATTTTGACATAATTATAAAAGCATTGAAATAATTTGGTCTAATTCAGTTCCCAGTACTTCCCTGCCCTCCTCCCTCCCCCGTTCCTTTCCCTCTATACTCTATTGATATTTCTGCTATTTATTTTTTTAATTAGTGTATGATAGATGTACATGATGGTGAAATTCACTGTGATATATTCATATACATAAAGTTAGGTTAGATTCATTCCACTGTCTTTCCCTATCCCAAGCCTCCTTTCCCTTCATTCCCCCCTTTGTCTATCCCACTATCTTAATGTTTTTGCCTGCATTTGGATAGAGCTTCCTGTTTAAAAAAAAAAAAAAAAAAAAGCCAGGCACTGAGGTGCATGCCTGTAATCCCAGGGATTCTGGAGGCTGAGATAAGAGGATCACAAGTTCAAGGACAGTCTCAGAAACTCTGTGTGACCCTATCTCAAAAGAAAAAAAAGTAAAAAGGTCTGCAAATGTAGCTCAGTGGCCCCTGGGTTCAATTCCAGGTACAAAAAAAAAAAAAAAAAAAAAAATTATAATTAGTTGTAGGAGAGAAAGGTAGGATTTCTAACTTGGAAGACTGAGTAAAAGGTGACTGTATTCACCAAGTTAATAAATATTGGAAGAATTATCTAGCATAGAAAGTATAAGTGTTAATTTCAAAGTACCACAAAAATAATCTCAATGCACAATATCCAGTAAACAATTAGAAATATGATCTTGAAATTGGAGGGAATATGAAGAGCAGACAAGGTGGAAGAGTACTAAAGAAATAATTTAAACATATACAATTCAAAGGAGTTTAAGAGTAAGAGAAAAGGAACCAAGACTTAAGTACTGTTGTGGAAGCTACGTCTACCAAAGCTATAAAAGAGAGATAATATTTAGAGATGAAGGTAAAACTATCACTAAGCTAAACCTTCCTCTTTAAATTCAGAATCGAAGCTGTTAACAAAGTCCATATCAGCAAAACTCACTGCTAAGAGAGAATTGTGCATAAAAAAGATGGAATCAAATGCAAGAAATAAAGTGAAATAGCAATTAAAAATAGTTAATTAGTAAGCTGGATAACTTAATACTTCCATAAATAGAATATTTAAAAATTTTAATATGTACAAATAAAAGTTATTATTTAGGAAGAGGAAAGATATCAAAATTTCAAAATCCACTTATTCAACAAGACTAAAAAAGAAATAACTTCACTAAAAATGAAAAGGGAGGTGTAAACCAACATTTATTTGATGGTAGAGAGTGTAAACTGATACAACCATTTGAGAAACCAGTTGGCAGTATCTACTACAGCCCAGAAATTCTACTCCAAAATACATACCAAATAGCATTGTATATGTAATAAAAAAAAAAAAATTCCCAGAATGTTTGCAGCCCACTATATGCAATAGCTTAAAACTAAAAACTATATAAATGTTATCAATAGAAGAATAAATTGTGGCTTATTTACAAAATGAATTACAGTTCCTATAATGAGAATGAAAATATAAAAAGTAGGTAGGGCCCAGTGGCACACACCTTGTGGTACTGAGGATTGAACTCAGGGTCCTGTGCTGGGCAAGTGTTTTGCTTGTTTGTTTGTTTGTTTGTTTTAAGCATTTTTTTAAAGCCCAATCAGAAGATAAACTTAATTTTTCTATTTTATAACAATTAAATATAATTCTTAATTAAGATGTAAAGGATACCTCTAATTAAGACCTTAAGTGTAATACGCATATGAAAAAGGGCCCCTATTATAAATGTCCAGCTCAATGAATTTTGGGGAGGCTGAGGCAGGAAGATCACAAGTTCAAAGCCAGCCTCAGCAACTTATTGAGGCCATAAACAACTCAGCAAGACCCTGTCTCTAAATAAAATTAAAAAAAAAAAACAAAAAAAGGCGCCTCCCCTACCCCACACTGGGGATGTGCAGAGGTACTGGGTTCAATTCTCAGCATCACCTATAAATAAATAAAATAAAGGAACACTGACAACTAAAAAAAATATTTTCAAAGTCATCATTGGGGTATCTTGGAGAATGTGAGATTTTCCTTGGAGAAAGATACACTGGGAAATTTTCAGTGTGCTCTCAATGTTCTTTTGTTTGATGACTATACAGATATACTCAGTTTGGAAAAAATTCATTGAGCTAGACATTTACAATAGGGACCTTTTTTCATATGTGCATTACACTTACGTTAAGGTCTTAATTAGGTCTTAATTAAGAGTTATATTAAATTGTTAAAAAACAGAAAAATTAAAATTATCTTCTAATTGGGTTTAAAAACAAACAAACAAAAAAAACACTTGCCTAGCACAGGGCCCTAAATTCAATCCCCAGTACCACAAAAAAATTAAAAAATAAATAAATAAATAAAGCTAGAAAGAAAATAAATTTCTTTAGAAATAAACCATAAGATTCCCTAATTCTGTAGCCCAACAACCACCAAACAGAAGACAGACAATGGAAAATTATTTTGGGAAAAAAAAAAAGGGGGGGGGGGCTGGGGATGTGGCTCAATCGGTAGCGCGCTCGCCTGGCATGCGTGCGGCCCGGGTTCAATCCTCAGCACCACATACAAACAAAGATGTTATGTCCGCCAAAAACTAAAAAATAAATATTAAAATTCTCTCTCTTAAAAAAAAAAAAAAAAGAATGT